GCAGAAACACATTAATTGTTTGTACCACATAGTGATTCAAGGTTCAGTTGTGTTGATTTCATCAGCAGGATTGTGGCAAATGGTATACTGACAGATGACATTGTCAATGAAGTTGAGGGAGGTTTTTCAACCCTCAGGGGGCTCTGGGTAAGGAAATTGATGACTATGTCATTGGTTACTTTTTTTGAGCTCTTTTTATTTTAAGAGGTCAAAACGTGCTCTTCCTAAACCTGAGAATTCACTTCAGCAGGTAGAGCCATCCTTCACATCCGTTAAACCTTTATTCATACAAGCATGTTGGCCTTTGTCCAAAGTTCAATTTCCTTTACCTACTCCTGAAAATCAGCAAATAAAACCCCTAGGATTACATCAATCTGATGCCATGGTGCACGGGAATGCCATGAGTCCCAGGCTAACGGGATGACAGTGGACCACATGAATATCAATCAAGACTTGGAAGTGAACTGCAAGCCCCAACAATGTATGCTTCAGTGACTACTGACTCGTTGCCAGTTGGTAAAGAATAACATTTGGCTCATTTTGTTGCTGCTGATGTTGGTTTTGCCATAGTAGCTAAGTTCTGTTGTGGTGCTGTGGGATAATGCACTGGACCACTAGGTCGGTTTGAACTACAAGGTCAGCATTTCAAATTCACCATCCACTCCTTGGAAATCCTATACATGGTCACTGTGAGCCAGAACTAAGTCGACAGCACTTAACAAGAAGTCCTTTTAGGTAGGTCCTTAAATTTTTAGGGTCACTGGCCACTTTCAAAATCTCATGAAAGGCATGAGTCTTTCCCTCCAAAAATTGTCCATAAGACATACACACATTTTGCATTTGTTTGAGGAACACAGGGCATCTCTGGGAAGAGGAGGTGGGAAGGGACACAGAACAGTGTTTTCCAGCAGAATCAAGGATCCAGCTAAAGTTAAGACACCACCAGGTGGGAATGTCTACAAGTGTCTAGGGTGATGTGGTTTTGCCTAGGAGCATTCTCTTTCCTGGGTGCATGGGTGGGACTGTACAAGATGGCGGTTGCTAGGCTGGGGGCAGTGGGAAAATGTGACTATGACTGTGTGTGTTGTATGGGACCTATTAGGAATATGTTTGGAAAAAATGACCATGAACTCTAGGCAGGGCAGAGAAAGCACTCAAGGGGAGATATAAAGGCTGGGATACTTGAGAAGGATTGCAGGCCACTTTAGTTGCTGGTGGCTGGGAAATGTGCTTGGTTGGAGCTAGGAGTGGGAGTGTGCAGAGGGTGGGCTTTTCTTGCAGGAGTGTAGGAGTGGAAGTTTTATGTGATGACAGACCACTCATTGAGTCTACTGAGTCATTTATGAATATAGAAGCTGTCTGAGGACATGATGGTGGTGGGGTGTGGGTGAGGGCGAGGAGAACTGAGGGGAGAAGAGCCTGCGAGACACACAATCGCCATCAGTTTGAGTAAGGGACCTTTTTGAGAGATTTTTACCAGTTGTCATTAACTCCCAAGTCATGATGACTCCATGTGTATCATCAGGATTTTAAGGGCTAACTTTGTCCAAAGTAGATTGCTAAGACTTTCTTCCAAGACACCTATCATGGACTCGAATCTCCAACCTTCTGGCAGGCAGTTGAGCTCATTGACCCATTTGTATTGCCTACGAACACCTCAGAAGCTTTAAGCAAAAAACCAAAGCCATTGCCTTCAAGCTGATTCCAGCTCATGGTGATCCCACGTGGTACAGAGGGTTGTTGTTGTTAGGTGCTGTTGAGTCAGTTCCAACTCATAGTGACCCTATGTACAATAGAACGAAACACTGCCTGGTTCTAGCCATTCGCACAATTGTCCTTATGCTTGAGCCCATTGTTGCTGTCACAGTGTCAATTCATTTTGTTGGGGATCTGCCTCTTTTTCACTGATTTGCTCCTTTCCCAAGAATGATGTCCTTCTGCAAGCACTGGTCTCTCTTGATTACATGTCCAAAGGACAAGAAGCCATGTCTTGACATTCTCACATTCTGGCTGTACTTCTTCCAAAATGGATTTTTCTGTTCTTCTGGCAATCCGTGATACTTTCAATTATCTATCCCCAACACCATAACTCAAATGCATCAAGTCTTCTCTGGTCTTCCTTATTCACTGTCCAACTTTCACATGCATATGAGGCAACTGAAATTACCATGGTTTGGATCAGGAGCACCTTAGTTTTCATAGTGACATCTTTGTTCTTTTAATACTTCAAAGATGTCTTTTTCAGTAGATTCGTCTAATGCAAAGTGTCATTTGATTTCTTCAGTGCTGGTTCCATGAACTTTGACTGTGGTTCCAAGCAAAACGAAATTATTGACAATTTCAATCTTTCTCCTTCTTACCATGATATTATTTATTGATCCAGTTGTGAGGAAATTTGTTTTCTGTACATTAGCTTGTAATTCACACTTAAGACTGTAGTTTCTTTTTATCTTCTTCAATAAGTGCTTGAAGTCCTCTTTGCTTTCGATAAGCAGGTTGTGTCATTTACAAATCACAGGTTGATAATGAACATTCCTCCAATCCTGATGTCTTTTTTTTTTTTAATGTTTTATTGTGAATTATGTGACAGTTTACATTGGAGAACATTAGTTTTACATTCATCCTATCGCAGATCGTTTCATTGCCATGGTTACAATCCCCTCCATGCATCATCAACCAACCAAAGGGTATACACTACAAGCCTGCCGCCAGTCGTCAGCACACAGCCCCTCTCCTCTCTGTGTCTAAAGTCCCCAGCCGTGCCCTCTTTCCATGTCATTGTCTCTGCCTCCATCTCAGGCAGCACTGCTTCTCTGGGTAGGGTCCCGCTCTCCACTCTTCTCCCTTGATGGTCCAATCCTAATGTCTTGTTATTCTTCATCTAGTGCAGTTTCTTGGATTATTTGCTCAGCATACAGATTAAGTATCATGAAAGGATAAAACCCTGCTGTACAACTTTCCTGATATGATGTCGTGGTATTCCCTTTGTTATGTTTTAAAATCCTCTGGTCACATGGGGTCACCATGAGCTGGAATCCAGGGCACATGACGACAATAACAACAAGAAATATTTCCATGTACTTTCCTGTATTCAAAATGCATACTGAAAATCACAAGTAAAGTAAAATCATAATGAAAAAACAACATAGGTAGAAGAAAACTTTAAGGCATTGGAAAAGGTGAGGTGGAGCCTGTCAGATTCATTTGCCTTTGACTGCCTGGTTCTTATTAACTAAGCAGCATAGCTTCATTTTTAGGCCCAAGGAATTGAATGGATCAGGAGAGGGAGTTTGGATTCCAGTATTTTGAGCCCTTGGGTTTTGGGACCAGAAAGGGGTCGTGGATATTCAGCAGCCAAATCCTCTTTCATAACATGCATAATGAGGTGTAATGTGGGCACTTAAACAGTGACTTGGACTGCTGGTATTTTCACCCGGGGAGGACCCACCCAACCCGCCGCCCCTCACAATTGCTAGAAAAGTCACAGAATCCGCGTCTCCAGGCCAGATTTTCCCTCTAGCCATTCACGGCCACCACGCAAAGAGGAGCAACGAGCACACAGCAAGGGATGTCTTCATCGTCATCCAGAATGGAACAAACCTACCAGCCCGCCTTCGGAGTGCTGAGATCCTAAGGGTTCCTCCAGCCCCAGCCCCAGCTCCAGCCCCAGCCAGAATGCCTTGACCTCCCTCAGCCCTCCTGGCCTCCAACTCACCAGCCGCCCCCGCCCTTTTCCGGGTGCGCGCGCACAAACCGGCAAGCAGGGTAGGCGTGCGCCGCCTGGCAGCCTGCGGGCGGCGGCGGCGCGGGGAGAGGGTTGGCCACTGGCGGGCGGCGGGGGAGGAGCCGGTGCTGCAGCCGGTCCCCTCGGGCCGTGCCCCGCCCTCCACCACCACCTGCGCATCTTCTCCGCGCTCAGTGGGCCGTGCGGGCTTTGGGTGCTGCAGCGGTGGAATCTCTGTGTTTGCCTATTCGGAGCCTGAGCCTGTCGCTCCGAGGGGCACGGGATGAGCCGCGCTGCCAGTGCTGGAGAGCGGAGGGTGCTCCGGCGCGCGTCCCTCCCCGCCGCGCTCCCCGCGACGTTGGCGAAGGGGGGTAGAGAACTGCTGTGACTTTTGAGGTCCGACTCCTCCTTCCGGCCGGCCTCAGGACGCTCCAGCTCGGGGCCAGGCCAGGGTGCCAGGCAGGCCCCGCAGACTCGCTGAGTGGGCTTGGGACTTGGAACGCGTCCGGAGCCGGCGGCGCTGAGCGCGCTGGTGAGTTTGGTGGTGGGGTGGGGTGTCCCCCGGTGCGAGGGGCGGAGAGGCCGTTGTGCTCTACCCTCCTCCGCCCGCCCCCTGCTGCTGCCCCCACTTTGGAGAGTAATTGAGACTTGAGCGTGACTGCGGAGCCACGAGGATGCGGACGCCGAGCGCGGACTGTCTCTCAGCCCGGAGTGATGGAGCGGGTCGGTGAGCGGAACAAAGGCGCTCGCCTCGGGGAGTGGGTCCTCGGCTGAGGAACGCCGGCTGCGAGCCGCGACGGCTGTCTGCGGACCACGGTACTAGCTGTGCAGCCTCGAGGCGCAGCGTGGTCTCTGGCGGGCGGGTGGCAAGTCCTAACCTGGCACCTGTGCGCCGTGCCCTCCTCAGTTCCCCCAGCAGCCCCTTGTCGGTCCAGGGCTTCGCTTGTGGCCTCAGCTCCCCTCCGTGGCCCAGAGGTGAGCCACTCGCAGAGCCCAGGAAGGGACCCCTGGCCCCTGGCCTTTGACCAAGAAGCCGAGGAGCCTTATAAGGAGTCGCGCGCTGAGGATCGAGCACGCATTCCGGGAGCGCTTCTGCCGAGTGGGACTCCCGTGTGAGCTGTCCTCATAGTCGTCTCTGCTGCTCGCTGTGACACTCGCTCACCGGGCCCATCGCTGGCTTGTGGGAACGTAAGACTCCAACGAGCCCCGGCTACCCCGCGCCTCCTAGGAGCCCGAGGGTCGCGAGTCCGGGAAGAGGACCAGCCGGGCGTGTTTGATGGCTTCACTGAGAAGAGTCAAAGTGCTGCTGGTGTTGAACTTGATTGCCGTGGCTGGCTTCGTGCTCTTTCTGGCCAAGTGCCGGCCCATAGCGGTGCGCAACGTAGACGCCTTCCATGAGATCCGGCCGCGCGCTGAGGTTACCAACCTCAGCGCGCACAGCGCCAGCCCTATCCAGGATGCGGTCCTGAAGCGCCTCTCGCTGCTTGAGGACATAGTGTACCGGCAACTGAATGGTAAGGATGCTTACTGGCGGGGCTAACCTCGAAGTCCTACGCGTGGCATGTCGTTCTGGAGCCGGCGGGGCGCGGTACCTCCAGGTTCTGATTTGCTCTCTTTTCTCTCCTTGACCTATCTCAGGCCAGGGCTGCTGGAAAGAACTTAGCTGCTGCCTTTCTGTGCCTCAGCCGTAAGTTTGCTTGTATGGTGGAAACATCGTGCAAATCACGAAATCTTGCCCTCTTGACTCCAGCTGGAGCGCAAATAAGGCACTAGCCGAGGTCCAGGAATGAAATAGCTTCGATTGCGCTGTGTTTAGTAGGGGCCAGACAGGGAAGGGATGATTGGAGGGCTTCAAAGTCTGCAGGCAAATTCAGGGCCAGGAGTCCAGGAGCTAATGCGCTTGGGTAGTAAGTTGGGTGAATGCATATGTCATTGCTCCTTGGGCAGGCTGCAATCCAGAGGATAACAACAATTCCTTCTTCTCCAACACCTTGAAGGACGCTGCTATTAAAAACACACCTGGTTGCTCACCCAGAGTTGCCACTAGGCGGTTGTTGAGAGTTTGCAATGGGCTGAGAAAGCGGGATTTTATAGTGTGTAGCAAAGAGAAGTGGAACATTCAGTTCACACAGTCATGAGAATCTGGCACCCTTAATATGCCCTCCTCTGAGGCTCGGAAGTGGGAGACTTTTCCCGGGCTCTTTGCAGTCTGGTCCGGGGACTCATGGGTGATCCTTGCAGTCTCCAAGGTCAGGGTGTAACCACTGTAGGAGTCAGCTCTCCCAGGCAGATACTGTACCTGGGAGAAGCTGTCAGCGCCCTTCCAGAACTTCTAATTCAAATCTCACACTACAGAGAATCCTAATAAAGGGCATAGTCATCTTAATTAGTGCAGTTCTTGCTGAGTGCCAGGCGATGTGCAAAGTCGTTTGTAGTGCATTAATTATTTCATTGTTGACATTAATCCAGGTAGATTCCATTCCAGCTCCTTTCTATTGTGGTTAAGGTTCATTTATTCGATTTTGACTCCTCTCCACTGCCAAGCTGCCCCATAAGGTTTTGGAAGCTGTCATTTTTCTGGATAAAGATCACCAGCTCTTTTTCCTGTGGAGTTGTTGGGTGGATTTGAACCGGCGACCTTTTGGTTGACAGTTGGGTGTTGAACCATGATACTACCAGAGAGCTCCATGGCTCCAAATTAGAAGTGAAAACATGGAGTTTGAAGAGGTTGCCCAGCATCCTGCTACTAGTTAGTCTGCTTGACTGCAGGCTACTAAGTGCCAATTTCTGTCTCTGGTCTAATAATTATAGTCGCCACGAATCACAATTGCCTCATGCCAACTAACAGCGGCATTAAAGTTGATGAAAAAATTAATACCTGTAGCTTCAGACACAGCTTTCTACCTGTGGTAGGTTCTGTCTCAGGAAGAAAGCACCTCACTGTCTTTTTCACAGTTGAGGGTCTAAGAACAGCTAGGGACCCAGGGGCAGACAGCCAGACCTGTCTCTTTCCAGATCTGTGATGATCCCTGCTGGGCAATTCATGTGTTCCAATACCTAGACCTTCTGAACTCTGTTTGATAAGTATCCAGGAAGTGGTATTGGTGGTTTTCTGTCATCGAGTCAGTTCCGACTCATAGCAACCCTCTATAGGCTTTCTGAGGTTGTAAATCTTTATGGGAGCTGAAAGCCTCATCTTTCTCCCTCGGAGTGACTGGTAGATTTGAACTGCTGACCTTGTATCTACTGCACTACCCGGGCTCCTAGAGTATCTAGGAGAAGCCTTGAGTCTGTGTTTGTGTCTGTAGCAGGAAGCTGCTGTCCTCTGACCACCCCACCCCCCTACACACACACACACACACACACACACACACACACACACACAGTAGCCCTCTAAAGCTTTGCTAAGGCTGAGTTCTGAGTGTCTACAAATGGCACAAAATAAACCAAAACACCACAGTTCGTTTCTGCAGGAATAAGAAACATATGGACCCCTGCTATAGAAGTATCCATAGGACCCCAAAGGGAGAGAGTACAAGAGCTATGGGTTCCTCCAGTACATGTATGGGGTCACTTAACGTCCTATATGGTGGTGAGGGGAGCATAACTTCAAAAACTTTGTGGAAAAATCCCATTGTCTTTTAATGCCACTTTTTGAGACTCTCTTTTATGTCTGTGGTTTCATAAGTAGTTCTGTTTTTGTTTGTTTGCTTTGAGCGAAAGTAGCTCTCCTTTTGTTTTTTTATTACCCCTACTGAGACATCAGTGGCTCAAGCCCACCATCCGCTCCTTGGGAGAACAATAAGGTTGTCTGTGCCCTTAAAGATTTAAAGTCTCAGAAACCCTATAAAGGATTTGTATGAGTTGAAATTAACTCAGTAGCCATGGGTTAGTTTTAATGGTTTTAAAGATCCCAGGCTTTTGCAGGATTGGACCATGGTGGGATCTTGGTGCTTAGCTCCGGGTTTGTCTGGTGGGCAGACTGGCAGAACAGTGGATCGGGCTTCCTCTTGCTTTGTTCTCATACTGCAGCTCCATCAACCACTGCCCATTCCTCCAGTGTCCATTGGCAGCTTCAGCAATGAAGACGACCTAATTCGGGCTCCCACAGGGTTTTAATATGGTGTCCGCATAACGCCAAATTACAGAATGTCCTATTTCGCAAAACGTAATGAAGATGTTAGATGACACACGACTGTACTGGGCTGCACTTAAAGAGACAAGGCTATTTTAATACTCATTTTAATGAGAAAAGGTAAATATGATATGACCCAGATCTCCAGTTAATAACGAGGAGCCCTGGTGGCGATCAGTTGCTAACCAAAAAGTTTGCTGTTGGAACCCACCCAGTGGCTCTGTAAAGATGACAGCCAAGAAAATTATTGGAAACAGTTCTGTGCTATAACACATGAGGGCACTATGAGATGTGGGCCATCTTGATGACAGCTAACAACAACAACGTGGTGTTCACTAAGTTCCAGGTACATACGTACCTAGTGGTAGTGGTTATGTGCCATTGAGTTGGTTATAACACATAACGATCTTGAACATGGTTTCTGGGGCTATAAATCTTTATGGGAGCAGAAAGCCTTTCTCCTGTGAAGCAGCTGGTAAATTTGAACTGCTGACCTTTCGGTTGACAGCCCAACTCAACCCACTTTGCTACCAGGGCTCCACGTACATAGCAGGGGACTTGAAACAGTTCCATGATTTTTTAATTCCATTATCCACAATCTTTTCAAAGCCCCCTGATATATGAACTCAGAATCTATGATGTAAGTAGAGCCGTGGGTTGTTCAACTGATTTGCACTTGCCTACAAGCAGTTCAAGCTCACCAGCTGCTCCTCAGAAACCCTGTGCAGAGTCGCTATGGGTCGGAACCGACTCAGTGGCACTGAACAACAACAACAAACCTAAAGGTTGGTAGTTCAGGCCCACCCTGCAGTGCCACAGAAGAAAAACCTTCTTCTTTTGTTGTTATTAGTTTTTGTCCAGTCAGTAGAGTCAAAGGAAACCCTGTGGAGCAATTCTACTCAGTGACATTTGGGGTCTCCATGAGTTGTAAGTCACTGAATGACTATGAGTTTTTTGGGTATATGGTGGTGGTTGTGGTGGTTGTATGCTGCTGAGTTGGTTCTGTCTCAGTCCATAGGGTTTCCTGCATAAGGTTTCCAAGGCTCTAAATCTTTTCAGGAGCAGAAAGCCTCGTTTTCCTCTTGAGGAACAACTGGTAAATTTGAACTGTTGACCTTGAGGTTAGTAGCCCAGCTCGAAATCCACAATGCTATCAGGGTTCCTTGGATATATGTTGTTTTTGTTAAGTGACTTTGAGTCAGTTCCAATTCATAGTGACTCATAGTATAAGGTTTCCAAGGAGCCGCTGGTGGGTTTGAACTGCCGCCCTTGTGGTTCGCACACAGTCCAGTGCTGATCCTACAGTGCCACACCAGATGCTATTTACTATTTTTCTGAAGTTATGTGCTCACATCTGCACGGCTAGCGAGTTTCCAAGCCAATAACACTCCACCAGCCTTCCTCAATGTGTAGCTTCGCAGAGTCACCTGGAGGGTTTGTTAAACTCGTATTTCTGGGCCCCACCCCATGTCTGTCTCTGATTCAACAGGTCTGGCATGAGGCCCAAGAAGTTGAATCTTAACCAGCTGTGGCCTGGAACGATGATCTAACACCCAGCCAAGCTAATGCAGAAAACCCATTGGAACATATCCAAAAGGGCTGGGGCTCTGGCGTCGTTCTGGGTGCTCTTCTGATGGACAAGCAGTTCTCTGGGAACTGGGAGCGTCTTGATGTTCACTCCATGGGTTGGAGGCTATTCGATGGGCAGGCTGAGGTTTCCTGTAGCCTCTGAAGAGAAGCTGGCATGAAGATCCAGTTGAGAGCATCTCTAGGGCAAGCCCGGGATTCAGGCTGCACCTGGGCAGATGTTATCGCCTAGCTGGGTTGAGTGTTAATTTGTAGTGTCCTGCATGCAGTCTGTATCGAAAAAAAGTAGTGAAAGTTCTGAAATCTTCACCACCCAACTCCCCTCAGACTTCTGTCTTTTGGTTGCAGGCATGATGCTGCCCCAGGCCAGCTTGGTTGTTTGCTACAGTGGGAGGGTGGAGTGGGAGAGGAAGAGTCTCTCTTAGATGGAATGCAGAATCTCCTGTTAACTTGCTCTGTTCATTGCTGTTGAAGACGGAAATTGGACTTCTGTGGGAAATATACAGACTTCTGTGGGATATATACAACAATAACAACAACAATAAAGTTTCCATCAAGTCAATTCCAATTCTGGGAGACCGCACAGGGTTTTCAATGGCTGGTCTTTTGGAAGCAGATCACCAGGCCTTTCTTCTGCATCACCTCGGCATGAACTTGAACCTCTAGCCTTTCTGTTAGCGCATCAACTGTGTGTATCACCCAGAGACTTTTCTCAACCTACCAAAAGAACCCCAAACCAAACTGGTTGTCATCGAGTCAGTTCTGACTGGGCGACCCCATATGTATTTACAA